CCCCCATCCCTCTCCTCTCTGGTCCTTTTAGACCATGCTCCCCCCATCCCCTATTAGACCCTTTTGGGCCTTATATAACTCCCCAAATCCACTCCCCCTTCGGGTCCTTATGGATTCCAGCCCTCTTGGGCCCACCGGGCCTTAAAGGCTTCCAGGTCCCCTCTGCTGCCCTGAATCCTTCCAAGCCCCTCAGCTGCACCCCCCACATCATGTTCACCCCTCGAGTGGGTGTTGTGAGGAGCTGAAGAGGAGCTATTTCTGGGGGGGTTCGTTTGCTCCCAGGGCTATAGGGGTTGCAGTCGCCCCCCCCCCCCATCCACGGGCAGGGATTGGTGGGGAGTAAAATGCAGGGAGGGAGGAAGGGGTCAGACCTTTTGTGAGGGGGGTTGCACCACCACCCCCCTAGATTGAGGGAACATTTTACAGGGGTGGCTGTAGTCCCTTTGAGGGTACCAGGAGGGGAAACATGGTTCCAATCAGGGGCTGTTTTGTCCGTCTGCCCAAAATCCAGCCCATCCTGGTTGCCATGGCAACGTGGTCCTGTTTCCCCCTTTCCATCTCTCACTGTAGCCTGCCAGCCATCGTGCATGTGTCCCCCCCTCACCGGGGTGGGGGGGGGATATTGCTCTCGCCGGGGAGAAACTGAGGCATGGCTCGAGCCATGACAGTGTGCCCCCCCTCAGGGGCTAGCACCCACCACCATGTCCCCTGTCCAGGGGCCATGTGGGGAAGGGAGGGGTCAGAGCCCCTTGGAACCCCCACTTTTCACCTGGTGGTGAGAGGGTCTCCACTGTTCTGGCCAGCATGGGGCCCTTGGTGCCTGAGGACATGGGGACATGGGGCGGTGGCAGGAGACAGCCAGGCCTTGTGCCCTTCCCAGGGCACATCCTACACGGTGCTCTCTCAACAGCAGGACTGGGGTGGTGCTGGTCTCAGCCATGTCCCCAGTCTGTTACGGGAATCTCCTCTGTGTGCCCTGACGCTGCCTTGAGCCCCCCAGAAGGGAGGGGTCTGTCAGGCAGGGAACAGGCAGGGGATGTGCAGGGACATGGGTCCAGGAAGGGGGACAGCTGCTGATGGCACTTGAAGAGGCTGCAGGTGTTTCTGCCTGGCGTGGGAACGACCATGCTTTTCTCATCTCTGTCCCTGTCCCTAGGGAGCTGGTGGCTGCCAGCTCCCTATACTCACAGCTGGGTCGTGTGCCCACTGCTACCACCACCACCACTGTCACTGCCGCTACCATCATCACCATCATCACCATCACCGCCACCACCACGGCCACTGCTGCCATCCGGGCCACCCACTGTTCCCATGGCAACGAGCTGCCGGTGCTGGATCCTTCCCGCGACCCTCCCCCCACGATGATGCGTGGCACTAAGCCCCCCCCTCCAGCCTCTTCCCCCCAGCCACCCCCTGGTGCCCCCCCAGCACACCCACGGCAGGGGCCCAGCGTGTCAGGGCCCTCCCTCCCCACCCCCGTGTCAGGGTTCACCCCCCTGCTGCTGAGTCACTGTGGGTGCAGCCCCCTGACCTCGGGTGCTGAGTCATGGGTGGGAGCCATCCCCCACCCACCCCCCAAGGTGCTTTGGGGCGTGCTGAGCCTGTCCCTCCCCAGGGGAGCTTTCTCGGTCGTCCGGCGCTGCGTCAAGCTCTGCACTGGCCATGAGTACGCTGCTAAGATCATCAACACCAAAAAGCTCTCAGCCAGAGGTAGGACCCCTAGGAACCCTGGGACTCCCTGAGACCCCTCTGGCACTTGAGATATCCCTGGTACCTTGTGATAACCCCTGGTACCTATGGCACCTCTGATGCCCCTGGTGCCCCTGACAGCCGTGGTACCTGTGGTGCCCATGACACCTGTGACAGCTGTCACCCCAGTGGTGCTGGTGACATCAGGCGCTGGTGGGGGGGACAGGGTGAATGCACCAGGGGGTGGGGTCTGGCCCTGCCTATCCCCATTATCCCCCTGCTGCCTCCCCTGGGGTCCCTCAGAACTTCATCTGTCCCTGAGGGGTGTCCTGCGGGTATGCAGGTGTAAGCAGATGGCAGGGGTGAGGGGGGTGTACGATGGTGTGCACGCACAGGTATGAGCCCTGTGTATACACGTACGTGAGCTGTGTGTGCACAGGTGTGTGCAATGTGTACATGGGGGTGTGTGATGGTGGGTATGTGAACACATGAGCAGTGGGGGGTACCCGAGTGTGTGTGCACACGTTTGTGTTCATGGTGTTTGCTTATATGTGTGTTCATGGTGTGTGTGCACAGGTGTGGGTGTGGGTGTGTGTGTTTGGTGTGCACCCAGGTGTGAGCAGAGTGTGTGTCAGCAAGGCTGCAGGTATGCACATATCAACAGTGTGTGTGTGTGTGTGTGCGTGTGCTTGCACGTGAGGGTGGGCACTGCTGTGTGTGCACATCTGTGAGCAGAGTGGGTGCCTGTGGGGTGAGCTGGGGTGTGCTCACAGCTCAGTAGTGCGGGTGTACAGGTGTTTGCAGGTGTGGGATGTGTGACAGTGCGTGGGGCTGTAGATGTTTAGGATGTGCACCTGGATAAGAGGCAGCATAGTGTGGCACAGGGTGTGTGTGTGTACACGTGTGTGTCTGTGGCTATAGCTGTATGCACAGGTGTGAGCTGTATGCACAGAGGTGAGTGGAGCGGTGCACACGTGTGTGTGAACTGTGTGTGAGCTGTGTGCACATCTGTGCACGTGTCTGTGTGCTCTTGTATGCAGACACATCCAGGGTGCAGCTGCACACAGAGGTACATGTGTGCACTCATGTAGTGGCTGTTGCAGACACACGTGTAGAGTCACACACAGCTGCACAGATGTACACACACAGGAACCGCCGTGCACAGGGGTACAGCTGCACACTCCACATCACATACAAACACAGGTACAGTGATGCACGTGGGTGCAGCCACACACACATGTACAGCCGTGCACACAAGTACAACCACGGAGCTGTATGGCTGCACGGGTATTACACAGGTACTGCTGCACACAGGCACGCTCACGTGCGTGCACAACTGCAGGACAAAGATACCCCCGTGCACCCATCACACCTGCACACCCACACACCTGTATGCTCACACACAGGTACAGCCACAGGTGTTTGCACACATGTGCACACCCATCTATACGTGTGTACAGGCATGCACAGCCTCACTCATGGGCACACATGAGCATGCACACCTGCACAGGGTGTGCATGCCTGTATCCACATGCACACCCAACCCATGTGTGCATACATGCAAACCTGTACACAGTGGCACATGAGCATAGCCAGACACATGCACACAAGCCCACGGGTACAACCCCCATCCCTGCCCCCAGTGCATACCTGCACAGAGCCACGTGCACTCCCATATGGGCATCTTTGGCTCCTCTTGCTGGGGTTGGCCTGGGGGCAGGTGATGGGGATGGGGGGTAGAGGGGACAGGGCAGATGTCCCCCTGACCACTGCCCCCCCAGACCACCAGAAGCTGGAGCGGGAGGCGCGTATCTGCCGGCTGCTCAAGCACTCCAACATCGGTGAGTGACTGAGGACACCGGGGAGGGGTCTCACCACTGTGGACCTGGTTGGGGCCACCGAGGGACACCCTGAATGACATTCTTGGAATACACTGGGTGTCCCTCTGGGGATGTATGGGGTCCCTCTGGATGCCACCTTTGGGTCACTGGGTGTGGGTGTGTGGGCTGCATGTGACACAGACACACATGGGTGTCACATGTAGTGGCTGGGGGAGGGGGAGGCCAGGGAGTACATGGGGGGCTGAGACTGAGCCTGTCCCTGTCCCCATCTGGTCCCCACAGTGCGGCTCCACGACAGCATCTCTGAGGAGGGGTTTCATTACCTCGTCTTTGACCTGTGAGTGTGGTGGGAGGCTCTCAGAGCTTCAGGAGGGTCTCAGGGGATCCTGGGGGCTTGGGGTCTCAAGGTGATGTGGTGCCTGGCTGTTTTTCAGGGTGACGGGTGGAGAGCTCTTTGAGGACATCGTGGCACGGGAGTACTACAGTGAGGCTGATGCCAGGTGAGCCTTCACCCCCCCGCCCACACCCCCTAAAGTGCTGGACACCCCCACCCACCTGTCCCCTGCACCCTGGGAAGCATGCAGGGATGGGGCAGCTCCAGCAAGGCAGGCAGGGGGGCACCCTGTGGGAGGGGGGGTGCACCCCCTCAGCCCCCACATTGTTGTAACCCCTCCACTGGCCCCATCCTGCTGCTGGGTGGGGTGGGGCGGTGCCCCCAGGTGGGGCCCCCCCCATATTTCACTTCCCACCCCATGCTCCCCTCTCTGCTGCTGAGTCCTGGCACTATCATGACCTGTGCTGGGGGGGATTGGTTGCAAATGGGGGGCCCCCAGGGCCTGTCCTTTGCTGTCCCCAGCCCCCCAGTGCCCTGTGTGCCACTGTGTGCCCCTCCCCGTGGTCTCTAGGCTTTCACAACATTGTTTCTCCCCCTCTCTCGTTCCCCCCATCTCTGCCCCCCCGTCCCTGTCCCCCTTGTGCCCCTCACCTCCTCCATCCATTCCCCCCATCCCTCTGTCCCTCTCGTCTCCCATCACACATTGCTCGGGCTCTGTGTGTGTCCGTGTCTCCATCTGTGTGTCCGTCTGTCCCACCGCTGCCCTCCACTCGCTGTACCCCCAGCCCTTGCCCTCTGTTTTGCCTCCTACACCCATCCTTGTCCCCAAAATGCCCCTTATCTTCCCATCCCCCTGTCCTGCCTCTTTCTCCCACCCCTTTACCCCCAACCTGTCCCCACACCCTGACCGCCACTTCTTGCCTCCCACCCCTTTACCTCATCCCACCCCACCAACCTGCCCCCCACTCCCACCCCCCCTTCCCCCTCCCCCCCCCCCCCCACCCCCCCC